TGAAGATTAAGACCAGATTAAAGAAAAAGATGTAAAAAAATATAGGGTAACAGATAGTTTCGAACTACCTGCAAATATATTTATTGGTAGAGATCATTTTCCAGAACATAAAGACAGAAGAGATGTTTGTTTATGATGCCATTATACCAGTAGAAAAAATATTGAAGCATCTTCAAAAATCTTCTCCAATCACAAATTTAGTAGTAATTGTGACGTAGCATTATGTTGTAATAAACAACGTTTGTGTTTTAAAGATTTTCATAAATTACTAAATAATACACTTTTATTACTAATTTTTATTGTCATATGAAGTTAAAATTGGATGTATTTTAATCAATTTTTATATTGCGATTAATAAAACTCATGTTGAATATTACAATTTACATATATGAATAAAACAATTTTTGGATATTTTATTTGGATTAAAAAATTGTTTAAATTTAAGAAAATAAGTAAATAGCATTTTTGTTGTAAAAGAATGTATAAATCTATTATGAAATAATTACTCAAAGATGAATTATCAAATAATAATAAAAAAAAATTTTTTCGGAATTTTTGCAGGCAAATTTGCCTGGGAAGCCCTACAGTTTAAGGGATACTGTATTAACAAAATTATTTCAAAACACAAATTATTGCAAGCCCCAATGCAATAATGGTGCGCAACTTCAATATTAGGAAGACTTGGATTTTGTGAAGCTGAAAGAATAATATGGTATCGGAGTTCTTTAAACAAAATTTCTGTGTTCCGATGAAAAAAAAAAAGAATATTCACGTTACGATAATTTTATATTTTAATCACGTGATCGTTCTGTATATAAATACGTGACTAATATATTTGGTTTCGCCAAAAGTTTGGATGCGGTATATGGCATTTTACTATATAATTTCAGTATATCCAGTGCAATTAATTATAAAAAAATCGATTCTGCACCACTTGGTTCGATATAACGAGTTTTCGGTATAAACAGGTTCGTTATAACCAGTGGCGACTGTAGATATATATATATCATTTATTAATAATTTAAACTTTTTATAATTACTATAATTTAGTTGAAATATATTCAAAATAAAATAATCATTTATTTTAAATATGATTGTGTATCATAATGTTGCTAATCTAAGCGAAAACGCTGGTCTTTTTCTTTTCCTACGATAATGTCGATTACAAAATGAGTGGCATATTTGCTTGCTTGTTAAAAACCAAATAAAGTTCATAAAATAATCACATGTGTCACATTTTAATTCATAAATGAACCATATCGAGATTTCTCTTCTGTATATGTTGTTCATGTGATAACACGAAACGTTTTTTTAAAATAGGTTGTATTTTTCTCGTCGCAGAAGAAATCGATTATGAGATGTACAGTACATGTCATTAGAAATTATATTATCTTATTGAAACTCTCGCAGAAAAATAAATAATCAATAAAAGTGATTTGGCGTGTACAAATGGATTCCTTAGCTCGTTAGAAATTTCTTGATATTAATGGATAAGGAAAAAGTGAGAACGTAGTATAGAGAATTTTTTATATAATTTATATCATCATTTAATTTGGACATAATTTTTTTTTTTTTTTTTTAAGCATGGCATGATAATATTTGGATCTATTTTTTGTCTTGCATTTTGGATCATCAATCAAATTTTGAAAAATAAATTTGGATCTATTTTGTGATCATCAATCAAATTTTGAAACATAAATCAAGGAAAATTCAAAATAATGTTGTAATAGAGATGCGCGGCCTTATTAACATTTACAGAACATCATACCAAACTTGTTCAATATTCATATACGAGAGGCACATGAAAAAAATTTTGTATTTTTACTTGAATTGATCTATAAAAAGATTACCGATTAGGAAAATATTCCGTCTCTACAATTTATATATATATAGTAGAATTCTAACTTTGCTATCAAACTACTTTATAAATCATTTTTTCATTTATTTTTAATTTAATAAGTTGATTTATTAAATTTAAACTTTCTCCTTGCTTCTTGCGTAAATATGCCTGAAAGTTTGATCCACGTCTTATTAAATCCTATTCCTCAGTATGTGTTAGGTGTCTTCCCAGGTATAGCAATAAATGGAGATACACCAATGGAAAAGTTAACTATGAAGCTGGGCTGGGTACTACGATGTCTCGGTTGTCCATTTACTGGGATGTTTTACGCTTGCAACGTCGGAACTGACAAAGTAGCAATCTGTACTTACTGGATTTCATCAGACAAATTTATACAACAAGATGGACAAAATCTTTCCAGCAGGCCCATTGGGACTCATACTATGACACTCAATTTGGATAAGGATCGTATAAGACAATGCACAGGAAGAGCATCTGTTTTAGATAGAATGTCATCAATTGTGTCGGTATATTTTATCGTAGTTGGTGTAATATCAGGAATATCCAAGTTGCATAAACCACCGAACGAGGAACCTTGTGAGGATTGGCCATATATACCAATGTTATTGTTTTGGACAGTTCCAGCGACCATCAAGAGAATATTTTGGGGAAACCTCATCTTTAAAGATCCAAACGAAATATTTGAAGATAATGTAATAACCGTACAAGATATCGGTCCTATTAAAAAAAATCATCTAATAGTCACCGTTACACTTACAGCTTTGGTATCAATATTCCTTCCTTGGTTAACAGTATTCCTGGCCTACTATACGCCCCCAATAGGATATTTTTGTCGTAGCAAATATCTCACCACAGTGTGTGCCATATGGTCCTTCAACAGTCTTATTGCATATATAGTTCACTTGAAAGGAGAACGTCACGTGTCCGATCGGTTTTTTCATGTGTGGTTTTCTATTTGCGGTTTTGTAGTGGCATTTTTGTTGCTAGCTCTGGGCATCCTGGCCGAATTTAGCGAGTTGTGGACTGTCTTTTCAAGTAGTTGTGATATTTCAAGTTCATGTACTAGAGGCGTGTAGAGAATAATTATCGTTATTTAAACAAAAAAAAATTTCGAAGTCCAGCCGGCCGGACTTAAAAATATGAAAATTTTCGTTGATATTTTAAATAAAATATGAATATTTTTCCTTTATCTCGCCAAACTTCACTATTGTCTAGAAGTCTATATGAAATTGTGAATTTGTTAATATTATCATTTCCATCTTTGTTTTTTTTTCAGTTTTTAGCCTTCTGTATAAAAATTTAATCAAATAAAAAAAAACAAAAGCTTAATGGTCAGTCATTTTTTCGAATAATTATTTACAAAAATATATCTTTTTTATAGGGATATTAATCGGCCCTAAAAATCCCATAAAATTGTTAATTTACTGGCTTCTTAAATTACTTTCTTATAAAACGTCGTTTTAATTGAATATTTATTAAGAATAAATAATAACCTTACTCAAAATCCCGAATCCTTATTTTTGAAATTCAGGGCCTGGACTTCCAACTATACGATCTAAGCTCATATTCCATTTAAAATTATTAATACAATTTATTTTTACTTATTATGGTTAGCCTTGTCTATAATTAAAGTTATTTCACATTTGGTATGCATGATGGATATAAAAAACAACTAATTTTGGAGATAATTGTTCCTGAAATCATATCTTTTATTAATTGATCATTTAGACTTAATATGTTAATGTCCGAGCCTCATAAATGAATTTCATTTGGGAACTGATCACATCACTCATTCACTTCGAATGAAATGATCGTCCTGATGCTTACAATGACCAAATGACCACTTCGGAGGCCTTCAAATGATAATCTCATGTGATTAAATTAGTATTCTTCGAAGTGATCATTTGGGATGATCTAAAATGTTCAATTGGGTGGGTATAATCATTTTGGGATAAAGGTAAGCAAACAAAATCGAATTTAAGAACTTTCCCAGAGCTTATTTTGAAAGTTGAAGAACAACAACTCTTATAGCCAGAAAACTTAATCTTTTTTTTATAATTTAAAACAGAAATACAGTATTTTTGGATATAATAATGCATAGAGATAACAACCGAAACAGTCAATTATCCACTTTTTCTTTTATTGCTTAGTTAATCATGCAGAAACCAAAAACATCATATAATTAAATCTTAAAATGCCATTATTTCGAAAACCTAAGTTGGAACCTATACTAAGTCTAACAGAAAGATACATAAATTTTATATCCAGTTGATACGAATTTCTTGCCAAAAATATTTAGCAAGGGAGTTATACTTTGATGTTCCAAATGCTCATTTCGGATATCCCAAATGCGCTTTTCGGACAATGTCCCAAATGAACATTTCGGATATTCCAAAAGACCAATTGGGACTCATTCGGATTGTCCTAAATGATTACATTATTTGAGTTTATTAAATTACAACCTTGTATTTTATTTTTTATTTAAATTATTTATATTTAATATTTATATTTAGAAAACTTTATTTTTATTTAAATTGTAAATAAAAATATAAAACAAACTTTCCATTGGTGGATTATTGCAATCATCACCTGAATGACAATTTACATCACAATACTTTCCACTTTTTTTGCAAATGCAACGAAATGTAGTGCAAAAAGTCTTTTTGCACTTACATTTTATATCAGAAATTTCAACTCTGATATACTTTGTAATCTTAAAGCCTCTCTATTACTAACAATATTATTAGGAATATTATCAAGTTCAGGTAAATTATTCAATGATACCGGTTTTAAATTATTTCCATTATAACAAGCATAGCTGACTTATTATTTTATCACATTGTCGATCGTTTTGTCGATCATTTATAAAAACAATAAATTATTATAATAAAATTAAGGGGAATCCAAATCAGGACATCGTGATATTAATTTTAGCTTGAAATTTGTACGTTTTTATTGGTTAATTTTGTAATGTTTCACAAAATAAGATCATGTGATAATTGGTACTAGTATGCTTACAAAAAATTTAGCTACGGAAACCAAAGAAAAAAATTTTTTTTGGAGTCTTTTTAAACGGTTTACGAAATAATTTGAGTATTAGGTAAGTAAATCAGAAGTTATGTATTTGCTAAAGTCCTTATAAAATACAAGCTATAGTGTTTTTAATATTGTTTATATAGAACTTATTGACCAAAGATTTAAATTATTCAAAATAATTATTTGGTATTTAGACATACAATTTGTTATAATTACACTTTTATTATATTATTATTTAGCATTAATTAAATAATTCAAAATAATTAGAAATGACTAAAACTGACAAATGCTATATTATAGCTTTTGTTTGTAATATTACCAATAGTACAGTTCTTGTTACAGATAGAGTTAAGGTTTTTGAGATAAATCTTAATATGAATTTAGTAGAAAAAGAATTATGCTGTCATCACTATAATAAGCTAATAATGAATAAAAATCAATGACTAGCAAAGATAGTAAAACAACAACAATGTGCTTGTTTCAAACTTGAAGAGTATTTAAAAAATAATAAGAAAGGAAGGCCACAAAAAAATTTTCTTAAAAAAATTTTACAGTAACTTCAACCTACTTTAAATCTCCTTCCTGGTATATTTATTTGTAATCTATGTCTTAATGCTATAGATCAGAATAAAGAAAGCTAACAATCTTCTAATTACCAATTACTAAATCAAAAAATATTATAAAAGCTATAAATTCTGAATTTCTTCTTATATTTTTCAAAATGATCTTTTATGTTCAATCAAAGAATTTAAGAAATTAGAAACTGCATATTATGAAATATATGAAGAACTTGATCAAGTTAAATTAAGTATATAACAAACTTTTAATCTTAATTTTATTTGTTTTTTTTTAATATTTTGCATTTTAATGAAATATTTTTATTACATTAAGATTCTATATCTTTTAGTGAAAAAATCATTTGATGTTTAATGTTTTGTATAAAAAATAATGTAAAAGTAAAGAAAAACTAATTATAATCCTGACAAATTTAAAATAATGTTAAAAACAAAAGAACCAAATTACAAGGATTTTTTGATAGACTTATTGCTATCACAAATTTTTAAATAAAAAGTCTTATAATTAATCAGTAAAATAAAAAAAATTTATTGTAGTGTGTTACTTTTTAGCAGAAATTAATAATAAATTTATTGATAGTATAAAAACAGAAATAGAATTTTTATTGAGCGTATCAGATATATCAGCATCAGCAATTAAAACTTTAGCAAATGTTAGACTTACAATTAAAAGAAAACTATCTAAAACACAATATCAATTGGTTAGCTCATAGGTTCTGGTAGAATATAATCTAATAAATAAATAAAGATATGATATAATATACTTTACTTGTCAATGTGAGCTAAAATGAAGGAATTTAGTATATAATTATCCCTTAAACTGTAGAGGTTCATAAGCAAATTTGTCTATTTATTTATTATAAATTCACTTCTGATTTACTTTTAAAAAAATTAAAATTTTTAAAAAATTTTTTTTTTTTTTAATTATATAATAAATAATTTAAGATTACTTATAAGCTAAAAATTTGTAATTTTAAAAAAATTATAAATTAAAAAATTTTATCATTGACCTTTAACCAACTTATTAATATTTACTTTTAACAATATTAATCATAATAGAATATTATAAAATTTATTATGAAGAATAACTTTAATTATTACAATTT